ATACCATGGACCATACCAACCAGTTCCAATTCCAGCCGCTGCCTCCATGTTACAATAATCTGTCACCTTCCCCCCTACGGAGGCCTTTGCCTCACCTAAGACTTTCCGGCATACATCTCAAGTCCTCTGGTAACCGTCATGTATAAGACATTTTGGTTTTGGGCACTGCAAATATGCTCTAATCCCCGTCTAACTACAGGCGCACACCCAGTCCACAGGTATCTCTAATTATAGGGCCTGACAGTGTGGGACAGTCACAGGTGGACATGATAAAAACGGTTCCTGATTGCAATTGTTTTACGAAATTTGTGACAGAAGGTTTCGTACATTCTCAAAGATGTTTGGCTAATTTTCACAGCCATTCAAACGATACACAAAGCAGGTTGAGGCTGTGAAGAAGCATAAAATGGCCCGGTACACGCGCCTCTGAAACTTGGATCAAGACACCCACAAGCTCTCCAGCAAGCTGTGCTCAACACGATCCACCTCCGCAGAATGATGGAAGCAGAAAAGCCCACCATTCAAATTACCACGCCCAGTCAAACATTTACAGGTCATGAACGTCTTGTTAGGGGAGTCGCAGTCTTCCCCGATAGACGCCGTGTGGTGACGGCCTCATACGACAAGACGCTTCGTCTATGGGACTTGGAGGACGGCATCGAGGTGAAGAAAATGGAGGGGCATCACTTCGATGTACAAAGAGTTGAAGTATCAAGAGACGGGCAATTCATAGTAAGCGGTGATGAAGGTGGAGAGCTCATCGCCTGGAACAGAGACGGCGAATCTCTCACCCAACCTATCAAAGTCCACTCCACACATATATGGTCGCTGGATTTTTCCTCAGACAGCACATTGCTGACGAGTGGCTCATATGACTCCACAATGGTGTTCTGGAACACAAAAACATGGCAGGTGCAAGGAGGTCCAATCGATTGTCGCGCTGAAGTCCGCTGTGTTCGGTATTCGCCGTCTGATGAACATCTTGCCATCGCAACACACCGTGATATCCAGATATGGAATCCAGGCAGGAGGGAATGCATCGCAACATTCCAAGGTCACTCTGCATTCCATGGAGCATGGAATCTTGCACTCGTGTGGACGCACGATGGCAAACAGCTTGTCTCGGCTGGTCATGTACAGGATCCCACCATACGGATCTGGGATTCATCGACCTGGAAGCAGGTCGGTGAACCCTTGAAGGGCCATGCTGGCCATGTCGAGATGATTGCCTTGAACCCTGCTGGCACCTTTCTCGCGTCCGCATCTGCGGACCACCAGGTTCGACTTTGGCGGCTTTCAGATCGACAAACCATCGCCACATTCCAGCATCCCAGTCGGGTGTTTTGTGTCACTTTCTCCACAGATGGCAAGGCCATCCTGAGCGGAGGAGATGATAGAATGATGTCAAAGTGGGCAGTACCTTTGCTGGAGGACATTCTCGAGGACCAGGCATGCAAGGCTTGTTTCCAGCCTTCTCTCTCACTACATAATCTGACCATGCGTGATGCAGATCCTCACCATCAACACGACAGCCCACGATGCATGCATAAGAGGGGACTTGCCCACTGCTGACAGGCTGTTAACACAAGAGATAAATGCTGATAGCGACGCCTACAACTCGTATGCGAATCGCTCGTTTGTCAAGGCAAGAAATTCAGACTGGGACTGTGCACTTGATGACGCGCTCAAAGTGAGATGCACCGTTTCTTCGCGATCTTTTTAATAGAGACCGGCGATATAGAGCATCAGCATTCAGCCATCCTTGATGGGCTGTATCTCCAAGGGCATCGCCCACTGTGGAAAACGACAGTTCCAGGATGCGACGAAAGCATTTGACCTCGCCTTCATGTACGTAGATGCAGACTTGAATAAAACTCGTCTTCTACTATTGATCAAGGTACGTCGACTGTGTCTCGTGTAGTCGCTATTTATACGACAGCTGTCAGGCAATCGCCCTTTTCAATGCAAATCAACATAATGAGGCAATTCTGCGCGTCCAAGAGCTAGCTACTACTCGTCCCAATCCGCATTCTCTTGCCTGTGGTACCGTAGAAGTGAGTGCTCCTGACACAGTCAACTCCACATTCATGCATCGATACTGATTTTGCGAACCTCGCACTGCAGGCTTATCTACATGTCCAAGTAGGAATGAATGCATTAGACGACGCACGCCACAACGAAGCTGCCAACCACTTCACTTCCGCTGTCAACACTATCGGTTTCTCATCTATGTCGGGCATCCATTCTAAATATGATATCTTCGTTGTGGTAGGTTGATTGCAGTTCAACTGATTATTTTTTTTACGCCCCACTGCTTTTTTAGTTATTCGGGTGGGACCTCAAGTCCTTGTGGCAAACTGCACACCAGAATTGGTGCCAAACACTCCTTCGGACAGGCAGACTTCCAGAAGCCATCAAAGCATACCGATATATAATGGATACGGCTGACGAGGCTACCAAAGCACGCTGCCTCAATTGGTCCATTGGCAAGTCTTCGTGATGTCAACCGGGTATAATTCTCAACCCCATCTCACTTAGCTTTCAAGCAAGAGTGCAGCGTGCTTTATGCTACCACCGGAGTGACCGACCTCGCTGCGAGCGGAGATACTGCCCTCATTGCGGGTAATTACGACAGGGCTATCGAGTTATACTCTGCAGCGATCGGCCTTGGTTTTGCGACCGATACCATCTTTGCGAACCGCAGTAAGGCGAGGTCAGGAATAATGCTATGGGACGACGCACTCCTTGACGCGGAAAAGGTGCGATGACAGCTACCGTTTTGTATTCGACGCTCATTTTGGTGATACGCAGGTCATCGAACTCAACCCCTCATCTTACTTTGGATATCATTTAAAGCATGCGGCACTTCATGGCGCACAGCGATATGATGAAGCCATCAAGGCCTTCAAAATCATGCTCTCCAAGTTGGAAAATGCTCCCGACACGGAAACAACAGGTATGCTCCAAATAGGACATCCTTCAACATTGTTGACTCTTTGTCCAGACTTGCGCCAACAGTATGTTGGTCCCTACGAAGCAGCAGAAGGAGCCATTCAAGAGACTATCAAGGCTCAACTCGACGACGCCCCACATCGTCTGCTTAATACCTTTACTGGGCGCTTGTGCGATCGAGAGGCACAGATCGATGCGTTCAAAACGAGCACAGAGTACAGGGAACTTTTGTCATCAGCATTGGCGCAGGTAGATCTCCGAAAGGAGGACATCAAAGATGTCGTGGCGACGTACTTCCGCTATGTCATGCTATCGCATAGGTGGGAAGGGAAGGAGCCGTTGCTGCATGACATCCAGGGCAAGGTGGTGTACGACTTGGATCGAGTGAGCGGCATCCCGAAGTTGCAGTCATTCTGTGCAACTGTTCGTGATATGGGGTATCGCTGGGCATGGGTCGACACCTGTTGCATCGACCAGACTAACAATGTCGAAGTCCAAAAATCGGTCAACTCCATGTTTATCTGGTATCGCCACTCCGCACTTACTATCATCTACCTATCGGATGTTCCATCTTCGTCGCAGCCTGGCGCACTCGCAAGTAGCGCTTGGAACACGCGAGGATGGACAGTTCAAGAATTCCTCGCCCCAAAATTTGTACTCTTTTATCAGCAAGATTGGTCCCTATATCTCAGCGATCGTTCTCCCAACCACAAAGATTCCCTTGCAATCATGCAGGAGATGGGTGATGCGACGGGCATAGATGCACAGGCCCTTGTCGCCTTCCGTCCGGGGATGAGAGACGCCCGAGAGAAACTTCAATGGGTGTCGGCGCGTATCACTACGTGGCAGGAAGATATTGCATACTCATTATTTGGTATCTTCGGCGTCAACCTGTCTGTCATTTATGGCGAGAAGAAGCAAAAGGCGCTTGGGAGACTCTTGCAGGAGGTCGTAGCTCAGTCGGGTGACATCAGTGCCCTCGATTGGGTGGGGCAATCATCCGAATTTAATAGCTGTCTGCCGGCCGACATTACTTTATACAAAGCTCCGCCTTCCGCCCTGCCATCTCTGTCCGAAGATGACATTCAGACACCAATCTCCTCGTTCCGACATGCCATGGCCATGAAGCTTTACGCTCTTCTTGACAACTTGAGCGCGCCTCGTTTCGCGAACTGCAGACTTCATCTGCCTTGCATCGCATTTCGTGTCACAGCAGTCAAACGGAGTCGCGCTCAAGACCAGGAGATATATGAAGTCAAGGCCGATGGGCTTCATGACCTGCTGATCACCACGGACGACAGGCTAACTCAGTTCTCATCACCGCGATCCACCATGCATACATTCTTGCTCGTTCGTCCGTGGAATCGTTATCTCCTCGATCTTCCTGACTTCGTGGAGCTACCTGACGTTGCTGATGACATGGAGAGTGAGGAAGGTTATTGGTCTGCTCCCACGTCTCCATATTCGCCTGGCGAGTTCCCTGAAGCACAAGAGTCACTGAGTGGTCGAGCGTTGCGATTGGCTGCTCACCTTGAACAGCCTTTTGGCGCATTTTTGCTAGCGCATCAGCGCGGTGGAGAATACAAGAGAATCGCGTCAGATCATAATATTATTGCACAAGTCAAAGACCTTTCTTCTATTCCGGACATGGTCAAGACGCTAGAGATATTGTAGCCGCATGCATTCTTAGTGTTATTTATATCTATAATCGAAGAATATGAATCTGATGTATGAGACGAGCAATACCCACAGAATATCCTCGAAGCTGATCTACAAGCAATAACACAACTGGCCACTTCCATGCTCTCCGGTCATGAGCTTCCCTGTGACAAACGGTTGCTAATTGGATGTATGAGGAACATAATCTTCATCACGAATCGTCAACGCCAGCATCGTTGTACTGCAAATGGATGCGTGAGACCTGGACTACAGCGAGAAAAATGAACCGGGGATACCAGTTGACCCGGGGCAAGACGAACATTGAAAATTGAGGGTAATAGTACACGAGCGGTCCATAGTTGGTGTAGGCGACGGGCTTTGAAGGTTGTAGGAGCAGTAGTAAATGATGAGTTGGTGGGTAGTCGAGGCTGAAAAAGATGTAAATTAGAAATATGATGGCGGCTGTTCACGTTCACGTTCTCGCATGTATCTGTACGAACGTCCGTGAGTGGTTGCCTGCGGCAAGGGACTCAGAGAGCAGGTAGGAGGTAGGGGAAGTGTAGCAGGAAACTGCAAGGAGAACGTCGAGTCAAGTGAGAAGGAAATAAGAGAAGAAATCCAAGGGATCGCAAACGTTACCATTCCGGAGAGGAGCTGTACGCTGTGAGCGTATTTTAAATGATTATATTTGCATCTGAGGCCTGAGGGGCGAAAGACCTGACAGGCGAGATCACTGGCTTACGGCACGGCAGGAGGTGTTGCATCAGACTGTAATAATGATATGCGACGAAGTGGTGTAGAAGGCAAGTTCTAGCTGTGCTTGTCTGCGAAAGAACGTTGGTGGATAACGGACAGATCTGCGTGCGTGGAATGCATATACTGGGTTCTCCATGTTGTACAAGCAAAATGATGTCGCATGGGGTGTCGCATATATGGACCTTGGTCGAGGCCACCTTGTAAACCAATTTGCGTGAGCCAGGCAAGAAGATAATGCAGCGAGGATGTTGGAGATAAAATGAGGCGAGGAGCTGGTAGTACTCGAAGGTCTAAAGCTTAATGGTGTTGTCGTAGGACGTGCTAGTGAGGGTCGCGCAAGGCAGGGACGCGTTCTGCGGTGGAGGGACCTGGGTTGACGTCGCCTGTGCAGATTTGCCTGTCTGAGGATGACCTGTTTACGCGTGACGTTGAGACCACGAATTCTGCTCGTTATTGGTATCCGGGATCTGGACGAGTCACCGATGGACATGATGAGGCCAGGTTCCTCTATTACGTACCATGGGATACCGGCCCGAAGATCCTCAATGAAAACTTAATTTGACATCCATCATAACCTGCATCCAAGTTGAATATTTATTGTCCGTTGGGGCGAAGCCCCATGATATACAAAACATACAGGTATATACTATGAAGTTCTATGTGATTCTATGGATCGTTCAGCAAAACCGATGCCCTCCAGCAAAACGTCACTGATCTTCCGGATGTTGCTACCATCGACGACTATGCGCGTGTGCTCATTACTATGTTTGGAGCTGCTATGCTCCGCGGCATGGGTTGGGTGGACGGCGGGGCTGTTACAGGCTCAGAAGGAGCGAAAAAGAATGTGCTGGTGGAGCCTTACCTACCGAAATCACGCCCTGCACTCTTGGTAATCGGAGAAGGTGGAATATGAGATGTTTTCCAAACGGGCAACAGCATTGTGAAATCGGTGACACCTTTGTCTTTGAGCACGTCTTTGAGCACGTGGATGTACTTGACGTGCGCGAGGATGAGCATGCCGTTGTGCTCGCCTGTGACCGGATGGGTGATATCTATGGATTTGTAAAGCTGTTGGGAGGAGGCGTGGTTAGCGAAGCGAGTGGGCTCGGCATGAAATGAAAGTACCTCGCACTCCATGCTAAAGGCGCTGTCCTTGGCGAGGGAGGCTTTTATTTGCACCTGAATACTTGGTCGTCAGCGCATATATCGTGTCATGAAGGTACACATACACATTTTTCCTTTGTCAGATTGCTGATAGTTCACTCGTCGAAGCCGGGAGCGTCCATTGCAATTGGATCTGCATTCTCAACAAATGGCTCGTTGGTGACGTTTAGTTCTTCAAGTTCGCAGTTGTGTCTTTAAGGCGGCCCGGAGCAGTATGGTTGCATGTAAATGAGATGATAGGTGGGTAGTTCGTGACCTATGGGAAAAGGTATGTTAAACCAGCTGGTGGATGCAAGCGTGTAGGGCGGCGCGTTACATGACGGAGGTCCGTCTTATCTGAATGGTTCCAGGTTCTCTATGCCCTCCTCACTGATCGTGGACACGAATGCGATGGACCGTGGTACAATGCCTAAAATAAAGAGCTGGTAGATATCGCTGTCGATCGCAGTCACGATTGCGGCCGAACAGCAGGTCGAGGAGTACGTACACCTTGTCTGTTTCTGCTGCGTCATAAACTTTCCACCCTGCAGATTCGCCTGCACAACCCAGTATTTTACGGCAAGAGCGTTGTCGGCTCTCTGACAGTACGTCCATGATGGAGTAGGCGGTGGAATCGAATGGAGGGACGGCAAAGGGACGGACAAGGTAGATTAGCTAGATGAAGAGAGCGAAGCTTGGTTGCAGATTACATAATATGATATAGGTGTAGCCTCGTGTCCTGGGCAGGCTGGGCACGAAGCATTTGAGGCTGTGAAGAGGCACCAAAAAGCCCGGTGCACGCACCTCTGAAACTTAGATTAAGACAACCACAAGCTATCCAGCAAGTTGTGCTCAATACCACCCATTCGAGGAGAATGACAGGAGCAGAACAGCCCGCCATTCAAATCGCCACGGCTAGTCGAACATTTAAAGGTCATGGAGATGAAGTTTTAGCAGCCGCAGTCTTCCCTGATGGACGCTGTATGGTGACGGCCTCGCACGACAAGACGCTTCGTCTGTGGAATTTAGAAGACGGTGTTGTATTGAAGATAATGGAGGGGCATCGCTTCGGTATAGGAAGAGTTGCAATATCAAAAGACGGGCAATTCATAGCAAGCGGTGATGACGGCGGAGAGCTCATCGCCTGGAACAAAGACGGCGAATCTCTCATACAGCCCATCAAAGTCCACTCCAGACCGATATGGTCGCTCGATTTTTCCCCAGACAGCACATTGCTGGCGAGTGGCTCACATGATGCCACAACAGTGCTCTGGAATACAAAAACACGGCAGGTGCAAGGAGATCCAATCAATTGTGGGCCTGGTGCTGAAGTGCGCTGTGTTCGGTATTCACCGGCTGGTGAACATCTTGCCATCGCAACAATAAAGGATATACAAATATGGAATCCCGGAGGCAAGAGAGAATGCATCGCAACATTCCAAGGTCACTCTGCATTCAATGGAGCATGGAATCTTGCACTCCTGTGGACGCAAGATGGAAAACAGCTTGTCTCGGCTGGTTATGTACACGATCCCACCATACGGATCTGGGATTCATCGACCTGGAAGCAGGTCGGTGAACCCTGGAAGGGCCATACTGACCATGTTGAGATGATTGCCTTGAACCCTACTGGCACCCTTCTCGCTTCCGCATCTGCGGACCACCAGGTTCGACTTTGGCGGCTTTCGGATCGACGAACCATCGCCACATTCAAGCACACCAGTAAGGTGAATTGTGTCACCTTCTCCACGGATGGCAAGGACATCCTAAGCGGAGGTTGCGATAACATGATATCAAAGTGGGCAGTACCTTTGCTGGAGAACATTCTCGAGGACCAGGCATGCAAGGCTTGTTTCCAGCCTTGTCTTTTACCACGTAATCTGACCATGCGTGATGCAGATCCTCACCATCAACACGACAGTCCACGATGCATGCATAAGCGGGGACTTGCCCACTGCTGACAGGCTGTTAACGCAAGAGATCAACGCTAATAGAAACGCCTACAACTCTTATGCGAATCGCTCGTTTGTCAAAGCAAGAAATTCGGACTGGGACTGCGCACTTGATGACGCGCTCAAAGTGAGATGCACCGTTCCGTCATGACGTTTTTAACACAGACTTACTTATATGGTGATGTAGAGCATCAGCATTCAGCCATCCTTGATGGGCTGTATCTCAAAGGGCATCGCCCACTGTGGAAAACGACAGTTCGAAGACGCGATGAAAGCATTTGACCTCGCGTTCATGTACGTGGACGCAGATTTGAATAAAACTCGTCTTCTACTCTTGATCAAGGTACGTTAATTGTGTCTCATGCACTCGCTATTTACACGACAGCTGTCAGGCCATCGCCCTTTTCAATGCAGATCGACATGACGAGGCAATTCTGCGCGCAAAAGAGCTAGCTACTACTCATCCCAATGCAATGTCTCTTGCCTGTGGTACCGTAGAAGTGAGTGCTCCTGACACAGTCAAGTCCAGAGTCATGCGTCAATGCTGATTTTGCGAACCTCATACTTCAGGCTTATCTACGTGTCCAAGTGGGAATAAATGCATTAGACGACGCACGTCACAACGAAGCCGCTGGCCACTTCACTGCCGCTGTCAAGGCTATCGGTTTCTCGTCTATGTCGGCCATCCATTCTAAATATGATGTCTTTGTGGTGGTAGGTTAATTGCAATGCAACCGGAAATCAAATTTTCACGCCCGATTGTGCTTTTTCTAGTTATTCGGGTGGGACCTCGAGTCCTTGTGGCGAACTGCACACCAGAATCTGTGCCATTCGCTCCTTCGGGCAGGTAGACTTCCGGAAGCCATCAAAGCATACCGACATATTTTGGATACAGCTGATGAGGCTACGAAAGCAGGCTGCCTTGATTGGTCCACTGGCAAGTCTTCGTGATGTCAACCGGGTATAATTCTCAATCCCATCTCACTTAGCTTTCAAGCAAGAGTGCAGCGTGCTTTATGCTGCCGCCGGAGTGACTGACCTCGCTGCGGGCGGAGATGCTGCCCTCGTTGCTGGTGATGACGACAGGGCTATCGAGCTTTATTCTGCCTCGATCGACCTCGATTTGGCGACTGATACCATCCTTGCAAACCGCAGTAAGGCGAGGTTGGGAAAAATGCTATGGGACGACGCGTTCCTCGATGCGGAAAAGGTGCGATGACAGCTACCATTTCTTATTCGACGCTCATTTTGGTGATATGCAGGTCATCGAACTCAACCCCTCATCCTACTCTGGATATCAGTTGAAGTATGAGGCACTGTATGGCGCACAGCGATATGATGAAGCCATCCAGGCCTTCAAAATTATGTTCTCCAAGTTGGAAAATGCTCCCGACACGGAAACAACAAGTATGCCCCAAATAGGACATCCTTCAACATTGTTGACACTTTGTCCAGGCTTGCGCCAACAGTATGTTAATCTATCCGACGCAGAAGCAACCATTCAAGAGACCATTAAGGCTCAACTCGACGACGCCCCGCATCGTCTGCTTAATACCTTTACTGGGCGCTTATGCGATCGAGAGGCACAGATCGATGCGTTCAAAGCGAGCACAGAGTACAAGAAGCTATTGGCATCGACATTGGTGCACGTAGGTCTCCGAAAGGAGGACATCATAGATGTCGTGGCGCCGTACTTCCATTATGTCATGCTATCGCATAGGTGGGAAGGGAAGGAACCGTTGCTGCATGACATCCAGGGCAAGGTGGTGTACGACTTGGATCCTGTTGGCGGCATCGCGAAGTTGCAGTCATTTTGTAAAACTGCTCGTGATAAAGGGTATCGCTGGGCATGGATCGACACCTGTTGCATCGACCAGACTAACAATGTTGAGGTCCAACAATCGGTCAACTCTATGTTTATCTGGTATCGCCACTCCACACTTACTATTATCTACCTATCGGATGTTTCACCTTCGTCGCAGCCTGGCGCACTCGCAGGTAGCGTTTGGAACACGCGAGGATGGACAGTTCAAGAATTCCTCGCGCCAGAATTTGTCCTATTTTATCAGAAAGACTGGTCCCTATATCTCGACGATCGCTCTCCCAACCACAAGGATTCCATTGCAATCATGCAGGAGATGGGATTTGCGACGGGCATAGATGCACAGGCCCTCGTCGCCTTCCGTCCGGGGATGAGAAACGCGCGGGAGAAACTCCAATGGGTGTCGGCGCGTGTCACCACGTGGCAGGAAGATATTGCATACTCATTGTTTGGTATGTTCGGCGTCAACCTGCCTGTCATTTACGGCGAGAAGAAGCAGAAGGCGCTTGGGAGGCTCTTGCAGGAGGTTGTTGCTCAGTCGGGCGACATCAGTGCTCTGGATTGGGTGGGGCAATCATCAGAATTCAATAGCTGTCTGCCGGCCGACATTGCTTCATACAAAGCTCCGCCATACATCGTGTCATCCTTGTCCGAACATGACATTCAGATACCAATCTCCTCGCTCCGACATGTCATGGCTATAGATTCGGTTCTGAAACTTCACACTCTACTGGACAACTTGAACGCGCCTCGTTTCGCGAACTGTAGGCTGCATCTGCCATGCATCGCATTTCGTGTCACGGCAGTCAAACGGAAGTCGCGCTCAAGACCAGGAGGTATATGATGTTAAGGCCGACGGGCTTCATGACCTGCTGATCACCACGCATGATAAGCTGACTCAGTTCTCATCACCACGGCCCACCATGCAGACATTCTTGCTCGTTCGTCCGTGGAATCGTCATTTCCTCGAGCCTTCTGACTTCGCGGAGCCGTCGGGCTTGGCGCAGCCGCCTGACGCTGCTGACGATACGGAGAGTGAGGAAGATTATTGGTCTGCTCCCGGGTCTCCATCACAGGAGTCGGTTGATTCGGAACTGAGCGGTCGAGCGTTGCGATTGGCTGCTCACCTTGAGCAGCCTTTTGGCGCATTTTTGCTAGCGCATCAGCGCGGCGGAGAATACAAGAGAGTCGCGTCAGATCATCATATTATTGCACAAGTCAAAGACCTTTCTTCTATTCCGGACATGGTCAGGACGCTAGAGATATTGTAGTGGTATGCACTTTTGGTGTTGTTTATATCCATAGGAGTGTGAAGATGACGTATAAGACGAGCAATAACCATAGAATATCCTCGATCCTGATCTAAAAGCAATAATACAACCGGCCACTTACATGCACTCCAGCCATGAACTGTCTTGTGGCTACCAGTTGCGAATTGGATGGATGAGGCGACGGGCTTTGAAGGTTGTAGGAGTAGTAGCAGTAGTCGAGACTGAAAGGATGTAAGTTAGAAATATGATGGTGGCTGTTCACGTTCACGTTCTCGCGTGGATTTGTATGCGAACATCCGTGAGTGGTTGCTTGCGGTAAGGGACTCAGAGAGTAATTAGGAGGTAGGGAAAATGTAGCAAAGGATCGCAAATGTCAACATTCCGGAGATGAGTTATCCGCTGTGAGAATATTGCAGGTTATTGTATTGACGTCTGAGGGGCGAAAAATCTGACAGGCGAGATCACTGGCTTACTGCGCGGCCCGGCAGAAGGTGTTGCATCGGACTGCAATAATGATATGTGACGAAGTGGCGTACAAGGCGAGTTTTAGCTGTACTTGTCTGCGAAAGAATGTTAGTGCATAACAGATAGATCTGCGTGCGTGAAATGCATACACTGGGCTCTTCATGTTGTACAAGCAAAATGCTACCAAGGATATCGGATGGGGTGTCGCATATGTGGATCTTGGTTGAGGCCGCCGTGTAAACCAATTGGCGTGAGTCAGACGAGAAGATCATGCAGCGTGGATGTTGGACATCAAACGAGGCGAGGAGCTGGCGGAACTCGAAGGCCCAGGGGTTAACAGTGTAGTTATGAGCAAGGCTGGCGAGGAGAGCACAATCGAATGACAGTCCTAGATGTATGAAAAGGTTGGTGTGCCCTTCAAAGGGCGTTCCGACTTTCATCAGCGTCGTGGCGTCAAACTCATAAATTGCACTGAGGTCATGATCGGACGTGTGAGTGCCAACGTTGAAGCTATACTTAGTAGCAGATCCGTTGCTCGCCATGAATATTCAGAAGATCGAGAGTGAAAGGTTTATGACCTCTCAAGGTCGTGACCGGTGTCATCCTGTATGGGAGTTCCACAATACAGTCTTCCCGTAGGTCAACAAGCGCCAGTTTGGCCCCAAAATGCATGTGAAGACCTTGGACTGATCCAGAACTAAGTCACGAGATTCGGCATCAGATATCTGTCCTGGAGATACAACAACATAGCATGTAATGGCGGGCTATACTTGCATCTGACAAAAGAGGCGAGTTTCATAGTTAGTTTACATGTCTGTCAACTATGGGACAGGTTAATGTGATATAACACATTCGACGACCGATAATGATCAAAAGTAAAATGTTCACGAGGTCGATTTAGAAGCAGCCACACAACCGGCCGCTTCCATGCTGTCCAGCGGTAATCTTCACTTCTGTGGAAGCTCGTTGCGAATTTGGATGAGGTGAAAGAGGAACAGAAGGAACATAGTCATCGTCAGAGGGAGCACCCGCTGCAAACAGATTCATGAGACCTGAGAGAACTGAATCGAACCTACTGTTTGGCCTGAGCAAGAGGAACGTCGACAATAGGCAGTAATGCATGGCCTGCACGAGCGGGCCACCAGGTTGATAGGTGGTGTAATCGTGCTTTGAATGTGGCGGGAGCGGTGAGAGAAGGTTCAGTTGTGTGGGTGTTGATATGGGTCGAGCCTGAAAGAATGTAGGTCGGGAACGAGATCATGGCAGCCGACACTCACGTTCTTGTGGGGATTTATATCCAAATGCGCCCGAGTCGTGGCTTGCGCAGAGAGAGAGAGAGAGAGAGAGAGAGAGAGAGAGAGATGTGAGGTAGAGATAGAGTAGCAGGGGACTGTCAACTTGAAGTCGACTAAATGCATCAGGAAGAGAAGTATACATCCTGAGGATCACGAGGCTAATCACCCCAAACAGGATTCATGCAAGAAGGAAGCATTTTACGGAGGTAACGAAGGAAAGTACGTTCCCGTGTATCGTAGGGGGACCTCTTTGTGGGTGGGGGATAATAGGTAGTTGTGTTGTGTTACGGCGCACAACACGACGTGTTGTGTTGAACTATAAGGGATCTATGGAGTGTAGACGAATGGGAGTCGTAGGTTTGTAGCTGCACTTTTCTGTAACCTAGTTCGAATATGAGCGCACAAATGGATAGATATGTATGCGTGGATGCGTACATTAAACTGCGCTTCTGGTGTAGACTGGATAGTGGCAAAGATGTGGGGTGGAATGTCGCATATATAAATCTTGCTTTCAGCCCAGGAGGTATATGCCAGTTGGTGTGACTTGGATGAGAGGATAACAATTAGCTATAGGGGAATATTATCAACATCATTTGAGGCTAGGAGATGGCAGGATTCGAAAGCCCAAAGCTTGATGGTGTTGTCGTAGAAAGTGCTAGTGAGGGTCGCGAAAGGAAGGGACCTGGGTTGATAATATTGCCTGCACGGGTTTGTCTGTCCGAGGATGACCTGTTCATGCGTAACGTTGAGACTACAAATTCTGCGCGTTATTGGTATCCGTAGTGAGTGAGAGACGAGTTCACCGTTGGACATGATGAGGGCAGGTTCCTCTATTACGTACCCTGGATACCGGCCCGATGAAAACTTAGATGAACCAGAATCTCACTTGATGCTTGCAAGGATCATTGATGCATCCTTGGAGAGCACTATCAAATGAAAGTGTCATTATGAGGTGACGGCAAGCATCTTTTCCCACTCTGACAACCGATTTCTGCGATCCAACACCTCACACCGTAGTGCTCACTCAGTCTGTCACCAAGTATTTCAAATACGACTCGGAGTTTACCAGTGTCCAAGCTTCCAAGTCCCATATCGAACATCCTACCCCGCTCGCCAGCAGGGTGCTGTCCACGGAAATATCAATATAGTTGATATACCCTAAGTAGCCTTCAAACGCTCTCGTGGTCTCAGGTCGATGCTTCCACGACGCGTTAGGTGACGGAGGTGCGTCTTACCTGAATGATTTCAGTTTCTCTATGCCCTCCTCACTGATCGTGGACACGAATGCGATGGGGCGTGCTGCGATGCCTGAAATCAAGAGCTTGTAGATATCGCTGTCGATCACGGTCACGATTGCGGCTGGACAACAGGTCAAGGACGTACACCTTGTTTGTTTCTGCTGTGTTGTAAACTTTCTACCCTGCAGGAGTGGTGTCGACTCTCTAACCGTACGTCCATGATAGAGTGGGCGGTAAAATCGAATGGAGGGACGGACATGGTGGACTCAGGTGGAGCGGTCAGGAGAGCGAAGCTCAGCGGCCCTGGATTGGTTACAGATTACGTACAGATTTAGGGTTGCTCAATTCTTTGGCTCAGTTCGCGGGCTCGGCCCAGCTGAGTTCACCTGTCAAAAAATGACATCGCTTAATGTTCGGCAAACTCATCCGTCAATGTTTCAACACTCACAACTAATGCGCACTCCGTTCTGTTGATTATCGAAATCATTCGGTGCAGGAGAAGCTGTCGCAAGCGGCCCAGGTAAGTTTTGTTTGAATAGCAGGAACGTGAGCTGAAATATATATTCAGCTTATACCCGTAATAGCTGCTTTCTGATCATCCGGCTTGGGATTCGGGAATCTGACGAGTATGCACAGACTCTCCTTGCTGCAAGTGTAGCTTGTTTGTGATGATCAGACTAATTTACACTTTAATATTATTAGCTTGAACGTTCGCAGCCGTCCAACTCGCCAACTCCAAGTAGTACTCCCAGTGCCTTTCGTGCTCCCAACGCTTCGTTCGTGCCACCATCCCATATCGATAGCGAGCAGCATGTGTGAAGCAGCGGAGTAAGCGGCCACGGTCTGCAATTGATGTCTACTCGAAAATTGAATGACGAATGCCAAGGCTGCTGGCCACGATGTTGGGGGACTTTGTACCTAAGCGATCAATCAATGGTATACCCGAGGATGGTTCGAACTTTTCTGTCTGGTCAGATCCTTATCAATGACTTTTTTCATTCTATTGACTATGTTCTTAGGTATGGGAAGAGTCCGAAGGTTGATCGTGCAGTTGCACGTCACTCAGCTGCCCCAGTTTCTGATGGCAGTGGTTTTGAGAACGAGTGTGTGGGTCCATTGATGCCGTCACAAGGAAAGGCCTCTCATATGGTATCGGAGCCGAAGTTCAAGCCTGCGGCAAAATCCAGGTCACAGACAGCTGTGTCAATGGCAACAATAGACGAGTTTCTGAAGCAGAAGGGTGAGTTGGACCAACAACGTTTTGAAGCTCAGCAAGAATGGTTTGCTCGGGAGGTCAATTGAGCAGAGCGCATGTCAAAGATTGAGATTGCTCGTGCTGTGCTATCAGCTCCCTCTACTGAAGTTGATCCTGATGTGAAGGTTGCAGCAAATGGGTTCCTTTACCGCTTCTTTGATACTTAACATTCACACTACTATTAGTTACCACTAGTTCGTGCATCCCCACATCTCGTGCATCGTTTAAAACAACGCTTTTCTACTACAAATATTCAAACTAATACATGCATATGCAATCATAAATCATAAAAACACCCTACGAGCTTTAACGGATGCGATCCAACAAGAAACAAAAGAATTAATTTTTTGGTGGTGACAACGGTTTGTGTCACTCTCAATGTCACCTGCCGGTACTGCCGCAGCGGAGTTTGGAACTCAGACACGCTTGTGGCAACGCGTCGCGACACATCTGAACGCGTACATGGGTGGGTAGTATGGCGCGCACTCGAGTTGGTGGGACGCGGGAAGGTCCCAGAGATCTTACCAAAGAGGCTCGCATTCAAGCTGCAATCCACGATACCTTGACTGGTGTTTATAGCAGTTTCCGAAGTGCTGCTATAGCTCACAAGGTAAGCACTCCCTCAGTAATTCGGATGCTAACTCAATTTTCCTTTAGGTGCCCCCACAGACTGTACGAGATCGTGCTTCAGGCAATCGTGGCACTCGGAAATCATTGCTCAATGAATCCCAAGAAAAGGTGCTGGTGGACTGGTGCCACCATAACTCAGATTCAGCCACCCCTCTCCATCCCCGCAAACTCCGTGCTCAAATATTCGAGATGGTGAAAGCTTACCCAGGCAAGAATTGGGTCCGCTGCTTCCTTTCCCGTCACGCGGATATCCTTGTTGCGAAACCCCGAGGCCTGGATCCAAAACGCGCACAAAATTTCAACAAGGCAACAATCACGGAGTATTTTGATATGCGCAAGGCCTTGGACGATGAGTTGGAAGGAATTCCACCAGAACACAACTGGAATGTTGATGAGAAGGGGTGTCAGATGGGAGGTGGCCGAAAGGGAGACAATTCAAAATTTATCTTCTCGAAAAACAATCGAGAACGCTATCGTATTCACAGTGATAATTTAGAGCTGGTCACAATAATTGAATGTGTTTCAGCAGCTGGCGATTCCATTCCTCCATCATTTGTTTTGGCTGATGGCCCCACTGATCTTTCTGCACGGATCGCAGCTCACTTGCAGGATCCTGGCACTCGTCAAGCCCTCGCAGATAATCCTCGATTTTCAGCGCTATGGTTTGAAACGACGTGGGAACCGTGGGCACATCACTGCGTCTACCTCAACTTCAACCGAAAGCTCAACTCGGACACCTTCAGCAAGTATTTCTCTCCCCCCAGCAGCCACCAATGTACCCCCTCCGCACATGCCATTTTTCTCGCAAATACCAGGATCCATTCCATATTCAAACCATTGGCCAGGGCAACATCACATTGGTGCTGGATTTTCACCAACTGCTCCGAGTCCTGTTGCATCCACGTCATCACAACCATTGCCGTCTGGGCATCTTAATAATGATGACAGTCTATATTACTCTGGTAAGCCGCAATACATATTTTAGATTACTACATAGCAGTACACTTCGTATATACAGTATATCTTCCTTAATGTAGTGTTGCCGTCGAGGCGAGTTAAACTCGATGCGAAATCGATTCGGTTCGAAAATGACCAAAATCGTTTCAACTCGAAACTCCGATCTGAATCGAGTTGCAACTCGTTGGGTTCGAGATTTACAATCGATTTGGTGTACTTCATATCCATACATCGTAATCCCCTGTGAATGGCCCCAGGCGAATATTGTTACAATGAGCTGCAGTGGACTCGACATAGCTCTGTAAGTCTTCAAAAACCTTGTTCAAGCTGGCACTGACTCGGGTACATGTAATGCGAAGCTCGCTGAGAAAAAACGCGAATGCTCAGTACTATGGCGACCTCTGCTTCATTTCACGGCATTGTTGGTCACCAAAACGGAAGCAGATATCAGATCGATAAAAAGAATTTCTGGCGCTATGACGGATTCATCGCCACTCCAGAAATCGCAGATATTCGTGTACATTTGGCGCTAACACTGCTTCTGCGGAAGACGGAATCTATCTATTGGATGCGTGGACAACTATCGGTCCCATCATAGAAGCCGATCACGCGCCATTGAGTGCACCAGAACACATACCTGACTACCTTGCAATATTGACCCATCCCGGAGTATCTCCTCATCGCCTGGATCTCTAACAGAACTGCATTTGTGCCATTCAACGAAACCTCTCGGTGGAAAAAGGCTTGGTCAGAAACGCGCGCATGCGGATAGTTGCTCTGCATCGTCGATTTATTGAAGTCCAACTCATCAATACTTTCGAACGCCACTGCATTCTCCGCATTAACTTTGCGTTTCATCCAAACTGTTCGTCGTGGACTGTGAATCGAAGACAGTTTCCTTTGCGACTCGTGTATGCAACTACATTTAATGGTTGTCAAGGCTTGACACTGGCACGAACCGTGCTCGACCTTCGAACGGATCCCTTTGCTCACGGTCAGTTGTACACGGCACTATCAAGGGTAAGAACGTGAAGAGACACGATGTGTCTATTCGCAGAGGCGAACGAAGGACAAGACTGCTAATATTGTATTTCCTGAGTTGCTACTGTAAAGCAGTGTTCTGCCGGTCAGCGACCGCAGTGTTCGTTCACTGAACGCAAAAAGTGGGAAAGTCGATGACCGTTGGCAACGTTCACTCGATCATGAACGTGTCGGGTGCCATGAGTCCTTGTATATTCTTTATATAGATACAATTCAATTCATATTCATATCTAAATGGTATAGATAATGCATCGAGCGCGCGACTACTCACGTCTAGATGCATGTCTAGCTACATATGAGCATTGTCTCACATGTCCTCGCCTTCTTCGCTGCATCTGGTAGTGTTATCAATCAAGGTGAGTTTTGCACCTAAGCTATGATATATTAATGCAAACTCAACTGCGCAATAGTAATCAATGCTCGTAATAATCCATGCAGAATCCTCGTGCCCCCACCTATATGGCTTGTTGTGGCCCACGGTGCGAAACACAGCGCCTGCTCTTTTTTCTTGCTCTCGTCCATCACCATTCCACAACCGTCGTCCTATGGCCAGCGGCAAGAAGAAGACTCGGAGTACTAATCGTGGCTGGTGGTGGACGGAATTTACAGAACACCCCGGCTACGAGAGTTCAGAACCGATATCAATGGTGCAGCAGAAGGCTAAAGTAATCTGCACCAGACAACTCGAGCATTACGTCGCGGCAGAACGGGCTCGTGATGAACTTGAGGTACAGTTTGGATCGCGGGATCATGTACGAGATGAGCAGGCGATTAAGGGAGCAGGTAAGCTTAAATTGTACCATCTATTTATTTCTAACACTTTCTATTGTAGTGTGGGCTACTGGCCAGCATGATCCGCAACGGATTTGGCATGTCAGTCGTCCAAAAACACTCATGACACATATTCGGGACTGTGAGCTACATACTGAGAGCGTTTGGTCACGTGTGCGAGGTGACCTTGTTGCGCATGGCTCACCCAACAAATCTGCTCGCTTCAATCAAGTGATGCAACCCATGGCGGTACACGCCACGCTGTCCATGCCTCAGTTGCACGACAATTCTTCTCAGATTGCGGGACCGTCCTCAGCTTCGCATTCACCAGCTCTCGGTCTCTTTATTCCAGGTCTTTCGGCACCGTCTCCGATTGCTGGTGGCTCTTCGGGCTTGTTATCTTTACTGAGCCCACTGGCATTTGATTCTTGTGCACCCAGTCCCGCAATTTCTGATATCACGCTCCTTTCGCTTCCCTCGAAGCGCCAGTGCCTGACCAATTCAGGTACATATCGCTCTGTTTCGCAGCCTGTCACTGCTGGATCTGTCTTGTCGCCACTTGTCGGAGCTCACTGGTCAACCAGCCAAACTTGGACCGATGCTGATCAAGCAGATTGGGAAGCAGGGTTAGCACGGGTAACTGCGAGTGCAGGATTGCCACTGCGATGGGTTGAAAATCCAGAGTGGTTGAGACTTTGTGATAGGTTTATTCCTCGAGCGAAAGCACCGTCGGCGAAGGTTCTTATGAAACGTGTCATGCCTCAAGTTCTTCGTGGTATCAAAGCCACTGCGAAAGAAGAATGTCGTGGCGCAGTCGGAACACTGCAATGTGATGGCTGGACTGGCGAGAATAGCCATCATTTGCTTGGTTTCATGATGACCATAAAACAAAAGGTAAGCTGTGGATGTTTTTATGACCTTTAAACTAACTGCTTTGTCTTACAAGCTGCGTGCTGTCCGTGTTCATGATGCATCTGGTGACTCGCGCAATGCCGAAGAACTCCTGAAGCAAATTATTGAATCAATCAATCAAGTTGAGAGCGAGTGGGGAGTGATTATTATTGCATGTACTACTGATGCATCTGGAGAGTCTCGTAAGGCTCAGCGACCCCTTCGCACCAAATTTCCGCACTTGGTAACACCTGACTGCCTAGCTCATCAGGTAGGTCATTGATGCGAGAATAGTATGCGAGTTAGCTTCATCTATTTTACAGTTCAACCTTATTGTGGGGGATCTCTTCAAAGCCAAGGATGACTACGGGCAATATGGTGACCTCGCACAGGAGTTGATTACATGGCTTCGTAGCAAAACCCACATTCTCGCACTCCTTCGTGAATTGCAAATGTCAACCGTGGGAAAGACGTTGGCCATCATTCGTGCTGTTCTCACTCGATGGTTGTCGCATTATTTAGCATACCGGCGACTTTTAGATGTTCGACCATCACTAGAGCTATTGATAGCAAAGCATGAAGCAGAGATACGGTCTACAGGTGATGCTCGTTCACGAGCAAAGACCTCAGCCGCCATCGCAACAATCAAAAATCCAACATTCTGGCATGCGATGGCTCAGTGGGGATATTTCATTGGGACATGATGCGATTTTGACTGACGTTGCACTACCATTTAGATGGAAGAACCTTTTGGAGCCAATTGCCCTGATGACGAATGTTCACCAAGCTGCCCACTCGAAACCTGAGCATATTCCAATCTCATTTGGGTTTCTCTACTACCATTACTCAAGAGTTGGCGATGAATCTGACCTTGTGGCTCGAAACGCGGTCCTGGAGAGTGCCGAGCGTCGCTGGGCTCAAGTTGATCAAGAAGTTTTCATTGCCGCTGTTATCGTCAACCCACTCTACAAAGACAAACCATTCAAAAATATTCCTCTGACAACACGTGCTGGGCTAATGTCCCTCTTCAGTCGCCTCTGGACACGTTTTTACGGTGGAGTGCCACCACTCGAGCTTTTTACAGATCTCGATAACTATCTAAAAAGTTCGCCTGAATTCCAGCCACTTGACATATATACGCAAATATTAGTATCTCGTGCAAAGGACCAGGTAATCTATCCACTACAGCTGTGTTCCTCCATGTCTGACCTATTTCTGCCTACAGGGCACATCAGTTGATCCTCTCGATATTTGGGATGGATTTTCGCACAGCAGCTCTGAAATCAAGCCCCTCCAGAAAATTGCTCAGCGAATTCTCTCCATCTGTCCAAATTCTGCTTTGTGCGAGCGTCTTTTCAGCATCTTCGGTGCAATCCTCACAAAATGGCGAAATCGACTTTCTACCCAGAATCTTATGCTACTTGCAGAGTTGAAGATGTACCTCCACGAGGAACATGTTCGTGAAGGATCTGTCAAGAAGCGGCTCAAACAGTGCTACTGCCAGAATACCACGGAGGTCAACCCTGCGGAGGATGATACAAATCCCTTCGGCAGTCCCCAGCAGACAGGTAGCAAAGTTGATGAGCACAGAGGGCTACGGCAAATTGCCGCACACTTGATTCAAGCTGTCGAGGATGAGGAGTCATTCACGACCTCCAAGATTATGGAGGTAGTTGCTAATCCTTCAGACTTCCAGCAAATTCCTATCAAAGATCTCTTCAATTTCTCTCGTGCTCAAGATTGGCTAGGATCCTTCTACCAAACAGCCATTCGAGGCTTAGATGCTGAGATTGAGTTATACGAGCTGTTGGATTTGGATGCCGACGGTATTGACGACGCAGAATTTCCTCAGGCGGATGACATTTTGGATGAGTAAGATTTGGCGAGTTCTCGGTTAGGCAGGCCTTAGCCAATCAGATATGATTATATAATGTTTTCCCTTGGACTCCTGGTACCATAGCTATTCACGTTCACCCGTAGATACAGAGACGTTCACCGGTGAACGTTCACTGACTCTTGTGAACGTTCAGTGACCGGCCGAACACTGATACAGACCGGTAGTCCAGCCAATGAGAAGCTAGGGATTCTGCATGCCCACAACAACGATTATTTGCCAGTTACTAGTACATGACCAGCAAATATACTAATTACGATCAACAAGGACTCCCCTTCGGTCGGCTCCATGACAATACATTGTGTTTACAGTAGCAAGACTCTCCTTCGGTCGGTTGTATACAACAATACTTTACAGCAGTGTTCGGCCGGTCACTGAACGTTCACAAGAGTCAGTGAACGTTCACCGGTGAACGTCTCTGTATCTACGGGTGAACGTGAATAGCTATGGTACCAGGAGTCCAAGGGAAAACATTATATAATCATATCTGATTGGCTAAGGCCTGCCTAACCGAGAACTCGCCAAATCTTACTCATCCAAAATGTCATCCGCCTGAGGAAATTCTGCGTCGTCAATACCGTCGGCATCCAAATCCAACAGCTCGTATAACTCAATCTCAGCATCTAAGCCTCGAATGGCTGTTTGGTAGAAGGATCCTAGCCAATCTTGAGCACGAGAGAAATTGAAGAGATCTTTGATAGGAATTTGCTGGAAGTCTGAAGGATTAGCAACTACCTCCATAATCTTGGAGGTCGTGAATGACTCCTCATCCTCGACAGCTTGAATCAAGTGTGCGGCAATTTGCCGTAGCCCTCTGTGCTCATCAACTTTGCTACCTGTCTGCTGGGGACTGCCGAAGGGATTTGTATCATCCTCCGCAGGGTTGACCTCCGTGGTATTCTGGCAGTAGCACTGTTTGAGCCGCTTCTTGACAGATCCTTCACGAACATGTTCCTCGTGGAGGTACATCTTCAACTCTGCAAGTAGCATAAGATTCTGGGTAGAAAGTCGATTTCGCCATTTTGTGAGGATTGCACCGAAGATGCTGAAAAGACGCTCGCACAAAGCAGAATTTGGACAGATGGAGAGAATTCGCTGAGCAATTTTCTGGAGGGGCTTGATTTCAGAGCTGCTGTGCGAAAATCCATCCCAAATATCGAGAGGATCAACTGATGTGCCCTGTAGGCAGAAATAGGTCAGACATGGAGGAACACAGCTGTAGTGGATAGATTACCTGGTCCTTTGCACGAGATACTAATATTTGCGTATATATGTCAAGTGGCTGGAATTCAGGCGAACTTTTTAGATAGTTATCGAGATCTGTAAAAAGCTCGAGTGGTGGCACTCCACCGTAAAAACGTGTCCAGAGGCGACTGAAGAGGGACATTAGCCCAGCACGTGTTGTCAGAGGAATATTTTTGAATGGTTTGTCTTTGTAGAGTGGGTTGACGATAACAGCGGCAATGAAAACTTCTTGATCAACTTGAGCCCAGCGACGCTCGGCACTCTCCAGGACCGCGTTTCGAGCCACAAGGTCAGATTCATCGCCAACTCTTGAGTAATGGTAGTAGAGAAACCCAAATGAGATTGGAATATGCTCAGGTTTCGAGTGGGCAGCTTGGTGAACATTCGTCATCAGGGCAATTGGCTCCAAAAGGTTCTTCCATCTAAATGGTAGTGCAACGTCAGTCAAAATCGCATCATGTCCCAATGAAATATCCCCACTGAGCCATCGCATGCCAGAATGTTGGATTTTTGATTGTTGCGATGGCGGCTGAGGTCTTTGCTCGTGAACGAGCATCACCTGTAGACCGTATCTCTGCTTCATGCTTTGCTATCAATAGCTCTAGTGATGGTCGAACATCTAAAAGTCGCCGGTATGCTAAATAATGCGACAACCATCGAGTGAGAACAGCACGAATGATGGCCAACGTCTTTCCCACGGTTGACATTTGCAATTCACGAAGGAGTGCGAGAATGTGGGTTTTGCTACGAAGCCATGTAATCAACTCCTGTGCGAGGTCACCATATTGCCCGTAGTCATCCTTGGCTTTGAAGAGATCCCCCACAATAAGGTTGAACTGTAAAATAGATGAAGCTAACTCGCATACTATTCTCGCATCAATGACCTACCTGATGAGCTAGGCAGTCAGGTGTTACCAAGTGCGGAAATTTGGTGCGAAGGGGTCGCTGAGCCTTACGAGACTCTCCAGATGCATCAGTAGTACATGCAATAATAATCACTCCCCACTCGCTCTCAACTTGATTGATTGATTCAATAATTTGCTTCAGGAGTTCTTCGGCATTGCGCGAGTCACCAGATGCATCATGAACACGGACAGCACGCAGCTTGTAAGACAAAGCAGTTAGTTTAAAGGTCATAAAAACATCCACAGCTTACCTTTTGTTTTATGGTCATCATGAAACCAAGCAAATGATGGCTATTCTCGCCAGTCCAGCCATCACATTGCAGTGTTCCGACTGCGCCACGACATTCTTCTTTCGCAGTGGCTTTGATACCACGAAGAACTTGAGGCATGACACGTTTCATAAGAACCTTCGCCGACGGTGCTTTCGCTCGAGGAATAAACCTATCACAAAGTCTCAACCACTCTGGATTTTCAACCCATCGCAGTGGCAATCCTGCACTCGCAGTTACCCGTGCTAACCCTGCTTCCCAATCTGCTTGATCAGCATCGGTCCAAGTTTGGCTGGTTGACCAGTGAGCTCCGACAAGTGGCGACAAGACAGATCCAGCAGTGACAGGCTGCGAAACAGAGCGATATGTACCTGAATTGGTCAGGCACTGGCGCTTCGAGGGAAGCGAAAGGAGCGTGATATCAGAAATTGCGGGACTGGGTGCACAAGAATCAAATGCCAGTGGGCTCAGTAAAGATAACAAGCCCGAAGAGCCACCAGCAATCGGAGACGGTGCCGAAAGACCTGGAATAAAGAGACCGAGAGCTGGTGAATGCGAAGCTGAGGACGGTCCCGCAATCTGAGAAGAATTGTCGTGCAACTGAGGCATGGACAGCGTGGCGTGTACCGCCATGGGTTGCATCACTTGATTGAAGCGAGCAGATTTGTTGGGTGAGCCATGCGCAACAAGGTCACCTCGCACACGTGACCAAACGCTCTCAGTATGTAGCTCACAGTCCCGAATATGTGTCATGAGTGTTTTTGGACGACTGACATGCCAAATCCGTTGCGGATCATGCTGGCCAGTAGCCCACACTACAATAGAAAGTGTTAGAAATAAATAGATGGTACAATTTAAGCTTACCTGCTCCCTTAATCGCCTGCTCATCTCGTACATGATCCCGCGATCCAAACTGTACCTCAAGTTCATCACGAGCCCGTTCTGCCGCGACGTAATGCTCGAGTTGTCTGGTGCAGATTACTTTAGCCTTCTGCTGCACCATTGATATCGGTTCTGAACTCTCGTAGCCGGGGTGTTCTGTAAATTCCGTCCACCACCAGCCACGATTAGTACTCCGAGTCTTCTTCTTGCCGCTGGCCATAGGACGACGGTTGTGGAATGGTGATGGACGAGAGCAAGAAAAAAGAGCAGGCGCTGTGTTTCGCACCGTGGGCCACAACAAGCCATATAGGTGGGGGCACGAGGATTCTGCATGGATTATTACGAGCATTGATTACTATTGCGCAGTTGAGTTTGCATTAATATATCATAGCTTAGGTGCAAAACTCACCTTGATTGATAACACTACCAGATGCAGCGAAGAAGGCGAGGACATGTGAGACAATGCTCATATGTAGCTAGACATGCATCTAGACGTGAGTAGTCGCGCGCTCGATGCATTATCTATACCATTTAGATATGAATATGAATTGAATTGTATCTATATAAAGAATATACAAGGACTCATGGCACCCGACACGTTCATGATCGAGTGAACGTTGCCAACGGTCATCGACTTTCCCACTTTTTGCGTTCAGTGAACGAACACTGCGGTCGCTGACCGGCAGAACACTGGTCCGTATCACTCCGAACTCGTTTCCAAATCGCGAGGTGGACGAGGTGCAAATCGTTTCAACTCGTTAGTCCGATCCATGTCGATTTACCTGAATTTCCCACCTCGATTCGATTCGATTCGCCTCGGCGGCAACACTACCTGAATGTCTAGCGCTGAACGGACTTTGAAACTGGCCAGTGTGACGATACCGTGACTTTCCGTTACATTTGTGTGACTGCACGAGATGTGGTGTGCACGAACTGGTGGTAACTAATAGTACTGTTTATATTCTTTTACACCGAGATATTTACGTCGTCTTTAATCATTTACGTCATGAGGAGTTGGGCTTACCCTGCGAGATGTGCTTGAAGCTCAGCCTGCATCAGTGAACGGGTGAGTTCTTGCTGGCGATTATCCTGATTCCTGATTGCGGTGCATTTACATGGTTATACTATATTGCTTTCTATTCCTATGTGAAGAAATCCTTTCTTATATATTACGATATATATATGACAACATCTTCTTCTCACCGGTTCTCTGATAGCTGGTTGCACCATGCTTGAATTCACGCATTGCAGGTCGTGGGCTCTCGGCAGACTTACGTATTTTTTGGAAATGTTGAAGTTTGACAGGTGAACTCAGCTGAGCTGAGCCCGCGAACTGAGCCCAAGAATTGAGCTGTGAAGAAGCACAAAAAGGCCCAGTGCATGCATGTCTGAAACTTAAATCAAGACACCCACAAGCTCTCCAGCAAGTTGTGCAGCAGTGCTCAACACCATCCACCTCAAGTAGAATGACTGAAGTAGAACAGCCCGCCATTCGAATCACCACGGCTAGTAGTCGAACATTTGAAGGCCATAGAGATAGTGTCTTTGCAGCCGCAGTCTTCCCTGATAGACGCCGTATGGTGACGGCCTCGGCAGACAAGACACTTCGTCTGTGGGACTTGGAAGACGCCATTGTGTTGAAGAAAATGGAGGGGCATAGCCATTGGGTCCGAACAATTGCAGTATCAAGAGACGGGCAATTCATAGCAAGCGGTGATGATGGTGGAGAGCTCATCGCGTGGAACAGAGACGGCGAATCTCTCGCCAAACCCATCACAGTTCACTCCAGAGACATCTACTCGCTCGATTTATCCCCAGACAACGAATCGTTGGCGAGTGGCTCATTTGACGGCACAGTGTTGTTCTGGAACACAAAAACATGGCGCCGGGTGCAAGGAAATCCGACAATCGATTGTGGCGATCAAGTCTACTGCGTTCGCTATTCACCGTCTGGTGAATATCTTGCAATCGGGACAAAGACAAATATCCAAATATGGAATCCTGGCAAGAGGGAATGCATCAAACGGTTCCAGGGCCACATTCACACTGCGTGGAATTACTCACTCGCGTGGATACTCGATGGCAAACAGCTTGTCTCGGCTGGTACTCACGGTGATTCTACCATACGGATCTGGGATTCATCAACCTGGAAGCCGGTTGGCGAACCCTGGAAGGGCCATACTGGGGCTGTCTGGATGATTGCCTTGAACCCTACTGGCACCCTTCTTGCGTCCGCATCCGATGACCACCAGGTTCGCATTTGGCGGCTTTCGGATCGACGAACCATCGCCATATTGAAGCACACTAGTTACGTGTATTGTGTCACCTTCTCCATAGATGGCAAACACATCCTGAGTGGAGGGGGGGGATGGCGTGATTTCAAAGTGGGCAGCGCCTCTGGAGGACTCTCTCGAGGACGAGACATCGAATGTAAGATTCTGTTCATTTTCCGTCTCCTTGCATATTGATCCTCGAGCTTCATTCAAGGCTCAATGCGAGGCATGTTTCTGGCCTTCACTCCTACTACGTAACCTGACCATGCGTGATGCAGATCCTCACCATCGACACGGAAGCCCGCGATGCATGCATAAGCGGGGAATTGCTCACTGCTGACAGGCTGTTAACCCAAGATATCGGCGCCGATGACAGTGACTACAACTCTTATGCAAATCGGTCGTTTGTCAAGGCGAGAAATTCAGACTGGGACTGCGCACTTGATGATGCGCTCAAAGTGAGATGCACCTGTTCGTCGTGATATTTTTAACAGACTAACTTATATGGTGATATAGAGTAACAGCATTCAGCCATCCTTGATAGGTTGTATCTGCAAGGGCATCGCCCACTGTGGCAAACGACAGTTCGAAGACGCGATGAAAGCATTTGACCTCGCATTCATGTACGTGGACGCAGACTTGAATAAAACTCGTCTTCTACTCTTGATCAAGGTACGTCAATTGTGTCTCATATACTCGCTACTCACACAACGGCTGTCAGGCTATCGCCCTTTTCAATGCAGATCGACATGACGAGGCAATTCTGCGCGTCCAAGAGCTAGCTACTACTCGTCCAAATCCAAATTCTCTTGCCTGTAGCATCGTGGAAGTGAGTGCTCCTGACACAGTGAACTCCAGATTCATGCTTCGATACTGATTTTGCGAACCTCGCATTTCAGACTTATCTACACGTGCAAGTGGGAATGATTGCATTAGAAGACGCACGTCACAACGAAGCTGCTGTCCACTTCGCTTCTGCTGTCGACACTATTAGTTTCGCGTCTATGTTGGCGATCCATTCTAAATATGATGTCTTCGTGGTGGTAGGTTGATTGCAATGCAACTGAAAATCAAAATTTTCACGCCCGACTGCTTTTCTAGTTATTCGGGTGGGACCTCAAGTCCTTGTGGCGAACTGCACACCAGAATCGGTGCCATGCACTCCTTCTGGCAGGCAGACTTCCAGAAGCCATGCAAGCATACCGATATATGATGGATATGGCTGATGAGGCGACGAAAGCACGCTGCCTTGATTGGTCCACTGGCAAGTCTTCGTGACGTCAACTGGGTATAATTCTCAACCCCATTTTACTTAGCTTTCAAGCAAGGTTGCAGCGTGCTCTACACTGCCACCGGAGTGACTGATCTCGCTGCGAGTGGAGATGCTGCCCTCGCTGCGAGTAATTACGACAGGGCTATTGAGCTTTACTCTGCGGCAATCGACCTCGATTTGGCAACCGATAGCATCTATGCCAACCGGAGTAAGGCGAAGTTGGGAAAAATGCTATGGGACGATGCACTGCTCGACGCTGAAAAGGTGCGCTGACAGTTACCGTTTCGTATTCGACGCTCATTTTGGTGATACGCAGGTAATCGAAATCAACCCCTCATCTTACTTTGGATATCAGTTGAAGCATGCGGTGCTTCATGACGCACACCGATATGATGAAGCCATCGAGGCGTTCAAAATCATGCTTTCTAAGTTGGAAAATACTCCCGACACGGATGCAAAAAGTACGCCCCAAAATAGCACGTCTTTAACCACTGTTGACTCTTTGTATAGACTTGTACCAACAGTATGTTAATCCATACGAAGCAGAAGGAGCTATTGAAGAGACCATCAAGGCTCAACTCGACGACGTCCCGCATCGTCTAATCAACACCTCCACTGGGCGCTTATGTAATCATGAGGCACAAATCAATGCCTTCAAAATGAGCGCAGAGTACAAAGAACTTTTGTCATCCACGATGAAGCATGCAGATCTTCAAATGAAGCGCATCAAACACGTGGTGGCGATGTACTTCCGTTATGTCATGCTATCCCATAGGTGGGAAGGGACGGAGCCGTCGCTGCATGACATCCAGGGCAAGGTGGTGCACGACTTGGATCCAGTCAGTGGCATCCTGAAGTTGCAGTCATTTTGTAAAACTGCTCGTGATATTGGGTATCGTTGGGCATGGATCGATACCTGTTGCATCGACCAGACCAACAACGTCGAGGTCCAGCAATCGGTCAACTCCATGTTTGTCTGGTATCGCCACTCAGCACTTACCATCATCTATTTGTCGGATGTTCCACCTTCGTCGCAGCCTGGCGCACTCGCAAGCAGCGCTTGGAACACGCGAGGATGGACAGTTCAAGAATTTCTCGCCCCCAAAATTGTCCTATTTTATCAGAAGGATTGGTCCCTGTATCTCGACGATCGCTCTCCCAACCACAAGGATTCCATTGCAATCATGCAAGAGATGGGAGATGCGACGGGCATAGATCCACAGGCCCTCGTCGCCTTCCGTCCTGGGATGAGAGACGCGCGGGAGAAACTCCAATGGGTGTCGGCGCGTGTCACCACGTGGCAGGAAGATATTGCATACTCATTGTTTGGTATGTTCGGCGTCAACCTGCCTGTCATTTATGGCGAGAAGAAGCAAAAGGCGCTTGGGAGGCTCTTGCAGGAGGTCGTAGCTCAATCGGGTGACATCAGTGCCCTGGACTGGGTGGGGCAATCATCCGAATTTAACAGCTGTCTTCCGGCCGACATTACTTCATACAAAGCTCCACCATGTATCCTGTCATCCATTTCCGAAGATGATATTCAGACGTCGATCTCCTCGCTCCAACATGTCGTTGATGTGGACTTCGTTCTGAAACTTTACGCCCTGCTTGACAACCTGAACGCGCCTCGTTTCGCGAACTGCAGGCTGCATCTGCCTTGCATTGTATTCCCTGTCACAGAAGTCAAAGTCATACGGAGACCTATTGAACACATGGAGTCCTACTTCGTATATGAAGTAAAGGCAGACGGCCTTTGCGACCTGGAGATCATTACGGACAACAAGTTGCCTCAGTTCTCACGAGGAAGACCCGCTCGGCGGTCGTTCTTACTTGTCTGTCCCTGGGATCGTCGTCTCTTCGAGCTGCCTGACTATGGAGACGATACAGAGAGCGAGGATGACGATGACTTCGCTTTGCCTGAGTCGCCTGGAGAACAGGCCCCGATTGATTCAGAGTCGAGTGAGTGTGCAATGCGATTGGTCGTTCGCCTTCGACAGTGGTTTAGCGCATTCCTGCTAGCGCAGCAACGCGGTGGAGAATACAAGAGAATTGCATCAGATCGTATGATCATTACAGAAGTCAAAGACGTTGATTCTGTTCACGGTATGATGGACGTCAGGACACTCGAAATATTGTAGTTATGTTTACTCATTTATTTTGGAAGAAATAGATTGCTCAGTAGTTTTCATTCTGGACATTTCCTGTTGTACACACGTACCCAGGCATTTGCACCATTTACAGTATCTCATTACCATAAGACAAAGCCGAAATGGTTGGCCCCCCGCCAAGGTCGGTCAGGCTATTTGGACAGGCAGAACTGATTTGAAATGTTGAGCAGAACGCAGGACACTAGGCTATAAGTCTCGTGAAGAAGCCATCTAACTGACTGGTCATGAGATTATAATACGTCAGTGAAATTATGTCAAGGAAGATGTACCAGAAGCAGAATTCTATATGTGATGAGCCAACCAAGATCATGCATACCGAGGGCATTTGGACATCGAGGGGTAAGACGAACATCGAGAATTGGCGGCAATGTACAAGCAGTCCATAGGTGGTGTAGGCAGGCTTTGAAGGTTGTAGAAAAAATAGCAGATGATTGGTTGGTGGGTAGTTGAGACTGAAGAAGATGTACGTTGGAAATCTGAAGGCGGCCGTTGACGCTCGCGTCCTCACGTGGATCTCTGTGTAAACATCCGTGAGTAGTGGCCTGTGATGAGGAAGAGCAATTAGGAGGTAGGGGCAATGCACCACATCCTGTCATTCTGATGTATCAACCATGACACTGTCACAGAAATACTGATACATAAATATGAGAGTCTGTCATAGTGGTGCCACTACTGCAATGATACATCAGTCCCTGTGGTGATACATTATACAGGATCTATATATATATTACCCCATGTTCGCATTTTCAGCGGCGGTTGAACTATAGTTGTAGCGCAATTAGATGTTAACTGAGTTTGAAAATATAATCCTAGAGAAACACACTAACTCAACCAAACAATCTGCTTTTGGCAGGCACCTTGACCTCTGACGCTATAGCGGTCAACCTGAGCTTATCACCATGAATCCCACTCAACTGCCGCCGACAGAGAAGCGTAAACGCGGCCGTCCGAAAGGGTCAAAGAATGGACCCAATGCGGGCACTGTGGGCCGTCCAGTTGGACGCCCCAGGAAGGATGGAATTTCGCGAAACACACCAGGTGAGCTTCGAAATGTGACCTTCATGTGCAACTTGCTGCTAACATATATCCTGTGTAATCTGTAGCATCTTTACATTCTACCTCTCAGGCTGCAGAGGCAGGGAGTCATCATAGTGACACCAGGCAGCCAGGTAAGTCATTTTCACACCAATGCCATCTGTAGTGCTGATATGCTCTGTCTTTAGTGGAACCACGCACTCGTGACTCGGAATTGAGCACGAGCACCAGCCCCGCACTGTCTGGACGTGAGTCATCCCACGCGGACTCGGATCAATCATTACGTGCACCAACGAGCACAAGTGTCATTCATAGTGAGTTTCAACATCGAAGTCATGAATTTGCGCACTGATTTTGATATTGATATGCTAGATATCCTCGATGGAGAGTCGGACATTGAGCCAGCGCGAGTTGTTCCGCAGCCAAGCACTGCTCCTGCATCAAGTGGTGCGTGCAATCTTCAGACTCGTAGTGTGATTGACGACTCAGGTATGTACAACTGATCAATACTATATTTGAGAAGTATTTACTAACAGTAACTCTCGTGCTTAGATCAGGCTGCAAGCTGCAATAATTCACCGAAGCAATCCGACAACCAGCTGCTCTGTGACTACGATGACGACGACTTCTTTTTTTGGGGCGGATGCAGAACTTGAGTGCATGATTGATGAATTTTCTGCCATCGGTGACAACAACAACAACATTATTCAAGATGTTCCGACCATGGCAGCACCTGATTTGCCATTGCCAGAACATGCTTCCTCGGCCAATGGTACCAAGACCAAGGTACCGCGTGCAACCATGCCAACATGGCTTGCAGACGAGTACGCATATGCCCGCACTCGTCTCGATTCTGAAATTGCAAAGACCGGGAGACCAGTGTGTTACGAGAGTGGGCAGTTCACCATGACTGCACCTCCGCTGGTATTTTCCCATGTCGTCCCTTTTGAGATTGAGCCCCAAGACTTCTACCGGCCGCGTTTTTTGTATGGCTGCCCCACCTCTTCCAGCGCATCCCTTGTCCAAACTGCAAGGATGCAAACCGGCGGTCCAAGAGGGGGCAGCCAGTCATGCTTCGTGTTCTCAGCTGGCCGCAGCAGCCACGGCGCGTTGTTGATCTTGAGCACTTGGTGTTCATTATTGGACACCGATATTATTGTGGGCACGAGGAGTGCAAGAAGACATTTCAGAGCTGGTCGCCAGCAATCTTGCAAGCCATACCACCACCGCTAGCAGCCCTCTTTCCATTCCACCTAATGTATCGAAGTGGCCTGACGGACCACTTGGTTGGTGTCTTGCGAGCCTCATTTCAGAGGGGTATTGGGCCATCACCTTTCGCTAAGAACATACGAATGATGCACATTCGCTATTACGAGCAGTTGCACATTCAATACCTAGAGACCGTCCGTCAGCGCATGCAAGCAAGTGCATCTGGGCTCTTGCCACCGCATCAACCCTTTCCTCGCTGGAATGACCCCAGTGGATATGCCGGATATGTTCCTACGCACCGATTTTTTCGATGTTTTTATAACTCGCTCATTGAACAACATGCCGCAGAGATGGACCAACATATGGCCATGCAGTCTGCTGAAACACTCAGTCATGACCATAGCTTTAAGGTCCGTCTACATGATTTATTCAAAGACTTATTGACTCAGAACAGAACAGGTGACAGGCATTCTCGGTAAAGTCAATGGTGTGGCAACATTTGGTGCCCTCCATACTGCCTGCAATGACTATGGTGAGTGTCGCAAGATGACACTCACGCCAACGAAGGGACATGACGACTGTATGCCTGCCCTTGCTGAGATTCCTGTGACACTTGCGAAATATGGGCATGCACCTGTCAAGATTCTATTCACGGACAATGTCTGCGGCGATAAGTCAGCCCTCAAGAGAGCATTTCCTAGTCTTCTATACAGTGTAAATCCTGTTCCGAGTTCGGGATTGGAGGATTTAGTAGTACCTGATGGTTGGCATGTATGTCGTCTTGGGACAACCTATCAGATCAATAACCGAATGAATTGCCTCATGGATGAGCTATTGCGGAAAAGGAGCTGCATGTTGCATTTGACCTGGAGTGGCCAGTAGACCGAGAGACAGGAATATACGGCAGAGTTTCCCTTGTATCATTGGCATATGATAAGGCCATCTACCTTATTCCGGTATGCTTCATGGTCTGCAAAACTATGCTATCATTTCTCACTGAAAATCACAGATCAGTCAATATGTGCAAGATAACGGATTTCTGAAGCTGCCATCATCCCTTTTGGTAGTCTTGCACTCGAAACGAGTCCACAAAATTGGTGTCCAAGTCAAAGCAGACTTAACTCACCTATACAAGGACTGTGGCTTTGCTGATTCCACGAATGAACAGCCATTCATTGGTGCTCTCGAACTCGGGTCAATGGCCAAGGATTGAAATGTGACAGATCACATGCGCATCAGCCTTGCAGACTTAACAGCACTTGTGCTTCACCGAAATCTGCCAAAGGACGCATCTATTCGAGTCAGCACAAAGTGGGATGATCCTGTGCTGTCACCAGAGCAAGAGAAATATGCCACATTGGACATCTATGCAGCTTCAGCTATTTTCGAGTCTTTCTCGGCTATCCCTTCCTGTGGTCCAGTGACATTGTCCACGCCAGTCAGCACCCAGGTTCAGCTCATGTCACGAAACGGAGGACTTGCAGTGGCATATGGCCACATAGCTCGTCACCAGCCAAAACAGCTGGATGGGGTAAATGTATCAAAAACTCGTATTGTTATCACTGTGACGTCCATCCTTGTCCCTGCCTATCTTGTTCGAGCAGATCTGCGACCTAACCATCAAGAAACCCCGATTTCGAATCTTGCCACTAAATCACCCTTCCCACTGCTATGCTATCAACGGGATTTTCGAACATGCACCAGAACCAGTGAGACAACACCACAGAATAGCACCACAATACTCCCATCATCACCATACAAGCCTCATGATTCACCTTATCTTCAAGTTGATGAAATCAAGGACTCGGAGCCTACAACAGACTCGGATGTTGGCGAGTGGTTATCACACGACAGAGATTCTGGTGTCCCTAAACAGTTGGCCAGTGATGCAGAAAAGGACCTGCATGGGCTCTCTCAGATTGAATCACTTGCGGAACTTGTTTCCCGTAATGTCACCATTGAGAGCAATGAAGTACGCTCTCGAGTTCTTGGGGATATCTGGCACCTCATGGACCAGTTTAAAATTTCCATTCACCATGGTCTCCGCCGTCCTTTCAGCCGTGCCCTTCGAGATGCCATATTCTTACTGGACCCTGTAGATCTTGCTGTTGTCGAAGAAGTGCTGAAAAAGAAGAATACATGTTTTCGCCAGATGGTCCTTACCAACTCAGACTGGGTGTGGCAGCGCATCAAGCGGCTGGTTCCACCTCCAGAGATATTGGCACCTCGTGTCACTGAAGTACTGCAGACCTACAGCCCACTGAAGGATGCTGTGACTGGCCAGCCTCTTTTCAATGATGCATCATGGGAGAAAGCTCGTCTAGTCATTGAGAACATTAAATTAGGTTACTACTCAGATCCCCCAGGTCACCATTTCTACACTTTGCAGAGAACGGACAAGCTTGGTCTCAACATCTATTGATGCTCACGTGGAACCAATAATGTCGAGGGCGGGATTCATCAGAACATCATCTGACGATTTGGTTCATTCAATGCATCACCCCAGTTGACCGTGAATTTACTTCGCAACTACACATTAACACATAATCTCGAGGTGTGCTTAACATTATCAACTACTAGAACATTGTACTCAATTGCTACAGGTTGGCACTGTGAATCGAACAGGAAAAATCTATCTTGGCTCTTATGACATCTGGACTCACAACCGGATTGCACTTCTTGTGGATATTACTGCCAGTGTGGTGCGGCCGTCATACCAGGAGTGTGGTCAGGCGACTTGGCTCAATGGAAATGATTTCGAGCCTGCGAACGAGTCATTCGGCATCCTACCTGTTGCTGCAGCCACTCGCACAAAACTAGGAATGAGTCAGTATCGAGATGACTATGCAAAAGGTTGTAAGATAAAGCATGAATACCTGGCGAGGCACCAGCAGACTCTTGTTGCTATTCTGCCGATCCATACTGTGGAGGAGAAGGCTTTGTACCGCCTACTCATCAAGAGTGTCACAGGTCAGTTTGCAGGGCGGAAGCAGCCAAACTGGGTAGCTCTTGCACAGGAGTGGCAGCATCATGCAAACGGCACTCACATATTTTATAAGGTGCGTATAGCACCATCCGTCGCCAGTCATCCACCCGCTCATTTCTTTCGCAAAGCTTCCTGAACAGCTCAAGTCATATTATAAGACCTGGAATGAGCACCAAAATGAGCATAACTCAGTCGAGCAGAACAATGGCGCTTACCTGGAGTTGCAAAAGCTTCTCGCAGCACCAGTTGGAATGCCTGAAATTGCACCGGTGTGGGTAACACAACAAAGGTGAACGCAAGTCAGATGACAAGCAAACACTCTCTATGTTGGGTCTTGATATGCCGTGCGATATGTTCGACCCTTAAGGGAAGCAAAGAAAGCAAGGATCCACGAAATGATGCTGATCAACCCTGATCAAAGGCGACAAAAGGGCGATGTAAGCGCGAGAAACGCGCTCAAGGCGCGCGCAGGAAAGTGAAACGCGAAAAATGCGCGAAGCGCAGGAAGGCGAAAGTGCGAAAGGCGAAAATGCGCAGAGAACTGGGATGGTAGTGCAAGCAGTGCACAAGTGTAGAGAGACGATAATATGGTGAAAAGCGCGGATATAGATGGATACTGATACTGCCACTAGCTTTAGACTGATGCTAGGGCCTTAAGATGACGACGGACGCATGCATTGCATGGAACTAACTGCCAAGTACATGGTGGTAGAAAGATGTGGTAGTAAGCTGTGGTAGGAAGCTGTGGTGTAAAACGAACATGAAAGTATGTAAGTTCTACCTAAGCGCTCTCCCAGGGCTCGGAGCCGAATAGGGAGCGCTCTAAGTATGTAAGTGAGGTAAAGTGATGTAAAGTAAGGGTGCATAACGAAATACAAAGTGTAATAGGCTAAATATGGTCTGATAACGAAAAGGGACACACCTAGGAACTGGTTGGATGATGGATGGATGCTCCTGGATGATGCGCGATGGAGTGCGCTTGAGCGCGAGAAACGCGCTAAGCGCGCGTGCGGGAACGCGAAACGCGAAAGCATGAGAAAGTGTTGCGCCTATGGTGCGCTTTGCAGGAGAGCTGTGCATTGTATGCGCAAATGACTGGAGACATAGCAGAAGTTGCGTATGGAGTAGGGCGACGAGTGCGAGAGAAACGCGCTGAGCGCGCGCGGGAATGCTGCGCGTTGTGTGGAAAAGTAGCGCGCCTATGGCGCGTTTCGCGGGAAAGCTGCGCGTTGTGTGTGGAATGACCAGAAACAAGATAGAAGTTGCATACGGATGATGGTGCGAGTCGTGCAGTAAAGGCCAGTTGCCAGAATTCGTAAAATGAGCCCATATGAGCCCACAGAAACACGAGTCTCTACACCGGCTCCAAGTCAGATGGTAGCCAAACAAGTTGATGGCCGTCAGGCATCAGCAAGCGAGGAGCCAACTGACTGGCAGATTAGCATGATGCTGGGTTGGAATAGTTCCCGCCAGACCCTACTGCAGTTGCAGTACAGCGACCCTGCACTCCCAGGACCTCATGGACAAAAGCGGCCTGCAGAAGAAGAGGCAGTTGCACCTGTTAGAGTGAAACAGCGCGCACAAAGGACATACAAAAAGTGTCACAAATCTGATTGTCCAGGAGCGTTCAAGAGCCGGCCCTGCAAATACAAACAAGTAAGCATTTTATGCTCAAGTGCTATCAAAGAAATGACGAGGAAAATTTTTAGTTGAACGTCAACAGCCAGCAGAGACTTGACGCACCGCAATGAAACATTGGAAGTCACGCTACACCACACACGAATGCACAGCCGGCGTCGGAGCCCCGATCAGGAAGCACATTTGCCCAGTCGCCACTCGAAACAAGCACCTGGGTAAATACGTCAGTGTCGAGCGGGCAGCTACAAACACAGAATGTACCACACACCGTAAACATGCCGCCCTACTACACTGGCATGTATTTGCACCCTCCGAGACTGGCGCCGGTGCTATATCCTGGCTCGAGCTCTGAGTCAGCAGTCTTCCGCACGGCAAACTCGCGCGCGCTGCCAGTGCACTGCATGTCTGACGGCTCCGTCAGAACAAGCGCAGATGCTCAGTCATCCTCGAGCATGGGTACTAGGCAGGTCAACTTGAACTTACCTGTGCCTTCTGACAGTGGTACTGAAGGTAGAGAATGATGGGTTGAACGAGGTGGTTGAGTTGAAGAGAGTGGGAAGGTAGTAGCTAGTATTGGGGTAGTTACCCAGATTTGATGGATTCCGGGGAACCTCAGCTCTCAGTGTTTATGACATTCGCATCATAATTGAGAGCCTAATCAGACCTGATGTCATTCTTTGTAATCAGCGTTCTTGAAATATCGAAGCATGTTCAGGTGTAAGTACATCTTAAACCATCCTTCCCCCCTTCCTCCCTCCTCCCGATTTATTTTATTTAATTTTTGGAACTCACAACATATATAGTTCAAGTGCCTTTTCAGCCATATAGCGTGTGAACTTCTCCACAACACCCAAAACATAGCCCATTTTGGGTATCTCCACAATATGAAACCTTCCCACACCCTCCCCAGTCCATCCCTGGCTCACCACCACACCACAGTCAGGTACAGCATGTAGGTAAGTAGTATTATAGGTTATATGCATATAATAGAACATAATAGACCGCTTTTTCTTCTATTTTTGTACCAATGCCTGCTACAGGGCCTCTGCAAGTGTGATCTAATAAAAAACATATCAAAAACAATTTCGCAATTTTGACCCTTTGGTATTAGATTGTTCTAGAGTGTTTGGAATATGTTTACAAACATATTAAGTCGTCTGAAACTGATTCAAGTCAAGGACACTCTCCTTGCCTTGTCTTACGAACTCTTGTATACGCAAGAGTCTTGACTCGACCTTAGCCAAATACTCTTATTGAGTAGCTACTGTCGGAACTATCCTAGTTCGTAACAAAAGATTAAAGTACCCTTCGAACCTCTCCACCACGAGAGGCCCAGATTGCTGATTAGCAAAGACGACCACTTGGGTCAGAAAGTATTGGTGGGAACGTGATCCTAACGAACCCGATTCCCCAGAAGAGTATCACGAGGCCGCCGGTCCGGATACAGAAGATAACAGAGAGAGACGCACACCATCCCCTGTAGAAGAACCAGACAACAGAGAGAGACGCACACCGTCCCCTGTAACCACAGAACCAGATAACCAATCCTCGACTTCATCTGACAAATTCCCAGTAGAACAACCACCCCGAAACCTAACAGCCAACCCTAGCTTCAGGATGTCGACCGCTACCTCTTCTGAACTGAAAGCAGGTGCACCTATGCACTACAACAGAAGCCCTGACCAGGCTCTCAGATGGTTATATTCGGTGAAAGCGTACTTCACCGTTAACGCTTCAATCTACAACTCCGATGAAAAGAAAGTTGTAACCGCACTCGCTTATATGACTGAAGGCAGCGCAGGAGGATGGGCTACAACATTTTATGCGGAAGCCAATACCAATCCTACCCTGAAGTACAGAACCTTCACCAACTTCGAGAAGAACTTCAAAGAAGCATTTGCTCCAGCCAATGCTAAGGTAGTCGCCATAAACAAGTTAAGAACCCTGAAACAAGGGAACAACTTGACGACCTATATCGCTGAATTCAAAACACTAGCATTGCTAGCCAGTATCAAGGAATCCCAAGTCTTGATCGCGTTCTTCAATGACGGATTAAAAGGAGGACTCGTAAATTCCATATGCCAGATGGAAACCATCCCTGATTCTTTCAACAAATATGTAACCGCAGCTATCCGGCTAGACAGTAACTGGCAATGAGGCGCAGCCATACGCAACAACCACCGTAACATCACTAAACCATCTGGACAGCGCTACGTACCGAAACCATCCTTCAATCAGAATCATGATCCAAATGCTATGGAAGTAGACCACCTTAATGAAGAAGAACGTAAAAAATACTTCAGGAAAGGGAAGTGCTTCACTTGTGGACAGGTCGGGCATATCGCCCGCAAGTGCCCCGAGAAGTAGAAAGGAATGACCCCAATACATTGTAAAGAAGTACAAAATACTACCTTCAACAGCGCAGCAACTGCTACATAGAAAGCGATGATGAAGAAGAAGAAGAAGAAGCAGAAGTCCATCGTCTTAACGAGGATTTTTGATATGGAAGACTGGATCAATGTCAGTATCTTCCGATGTACCTATAAGACTTGTACGAAAGGTTGGAGAACATAAGGAACTTCGTGTTCCAATTTCCCTCATCTCGAAAACTCGTCTGAAAACCGTTGAAACCACCGCAGTCATAGACTCCGGAGCAGCCAGAACTTTTATCTCCGAAGACTTCGTCAAACAACACCGTATTCGAACCCACCTTCTTAGTAAACCTTTCAAGGTTACTACCACCGATGGAAGCTATTCCAAAAGTGGAGTGATACGCAGATATTGCGTTCTCACTGTCAAGATAGACGGACGATCCATGATCGGAAAATTTAACATCATGCGCCTTGGAAGAAGAGATCAAATCCTTCTTGGAATCCCCTGGTTACACGCTATGAATCCCATCATCGATTGGGCAGCAGAAACACTTGTTCTTTCACGCACTGAGAAAAGCAATCAAGTAGAAGAAGAAGTCGACAAAGAGAGAAAGAGGAATGACCTTTCGCCTCTATTTCGACAAGAACCTATCGATCGAACCTGGAAACAATCCAAGCTTAGGAAAGCTGAACCAGCTATCGAAATTCCCGTCGCTTATCCAAAAGCGACTATCGAAGAAATTATCGACGAAGAAGCATCACCTGCTTTCTCCATCCCCGATCTACTCCCCATCCCTGACAACAACAACGAAACCTTTGATACTAAGGAAGATGTCTGGACACAAGAGAACTTTGCCGCACCAGTGCGAGAAGTCTCTATGTACAATCTAGATGACGACGAATTCTTGGTAGAATATTCCTCTGACACATCGGAACTCCGGGTAATTTCGAATACCGTTATGGACGTACCATTGACCCTCGATGGGACCAGTCACTGTTAAGACCATAGCTCAAGGGTAGACGGATCCGAAGGGCTTGGCCTCAGCTCGTGCGCTGTGCCCCTTACCCGAGTACGTGCCCTTAATTTCAGAATGAAGTCCAGATGGAATCCGACGAAGTCCGAAGGACTTCCGGAGGCTGGCTACTCTGGTTGAGTGCTGGAGGACTTCCGGATGAGCGCGGAAAACTTTCGGATGAGTATAGGAAACTCTGGAAGAGTTTCACCCCGCTGCATTAGATCCGAAGGTAAGCTCCCTAGATGGAAACACATAGAAGATAGGCTGCAAGGGACAGAGTCCAAAGCAGGATAGGGTAGGAGGAGTGGTCCGAAGGACAGGACGTCCGGAGGTCCGAAGGTTAAGACGTCCGAAGGTTGCGTCGTCCGAAGGTTACGACGTCCGGAGGAGTGGACAGGATTCTAGGACAAGAGAAGAAGGGCTACAACGGACAAGGTCCGGAGTAGAAACAGACGGAGGTAGACTACACTATGGTAGAGTCGGATAGACGGGGTTTAGACAGAAGTCTCGGAAAGACAGGAAGTGCCGGAAAGGCAAAGCTTCGGCTTAGGGAGTCAATCCCTAAGCATGGATATAGACGGAAGGATAAATCTGGAGGACCGGAAGGTTGGCCTAGGGAATCCTTCCCTAGGCCTAAGGAAAGGCAATACTAAGACGGACCGAAGTCCAAGATCAGAATGAGTGAAGTCTAGGATGCGAGAGAGCAAGTCTATGTTGAGCAGAATCTAAGATGATATTCGAACTAAGGAAACTTTACAGGAGTTGTATAGAGGTTTATATACTGGACAGTATCCGAGAGGATCAGTAAGCTGAAGACAAATGCTATGTACGAGCATGTGGAAACATATTGGTAAGTATGAACGGAACATAAACAAATGAACTCGGAGATGAACAAAGTACAAGGATCAATAAGCAAGACGGAAACACAGATAACCGAAGTCCGGAGTCAAGAGGATTACCATAAGGAGATAGACACTGATTTAAGGTTTGAGCTTTGGATATGAGTATAGGTCGGATCCGGAGGTCTAGAGATATCGTATGAGGCGTCTGGATATTGGATGAGCGGATCCGGAGATCTAGGTGAAGACGAGACTAGGATATAGATCATGGATATCATCCGGTAGTCTAGGGAAGGTAAACTCTCAGGTAGGATGAGCTCGGATCCGATGGGATCAAGGGTGGATGAAGCAGGCTTAGCTGCGGAGGTCCGAAGGTATGGATATATGGATGTACGAAGGTGTATGGATCCGAACCGATAGTGGACTGGAGGACTGCAGGCATGGATAAGGGTATGGAGTCATGGATAAGGGTATGGAGGTTCGGATGTGCATCCGGAAGGCGTGGGAACATCATCGGACGTAGGTCCAGAATACGGGATATGACAGTCACTCAAAAGAAAAACCCATGGTTAAACCCCTGCCACAGCCTACGGAATACACGAAAGTCAGTAACAAAGCCCAGCAGTTCGCTCTAGCTGCGGGCTTGGAACAAAAGAAGAAAACTTTCGAAGAACTCGTACCCTCTTATCTACACGACTTCACCGACATCTTCACTAAAGATGGTCTTAACCAGCTACCCCCTGAACGACCTGGTATTGACCACTGCATCAAAACGAAACCCGGATTTATTCCCAAAACGTCGAAAATCTATCCCCTCTCCATTGCTGAACGAACCGCTGTCAAAGCGTTCATTGATGAAAACGTAAAGAAAGGTTTTATCTCGGAATCTAAGTCGCCACAAGCCAGCAGTTTCTTCTTTGTAGGAAAGAAGAGTGGAGATCTACGACCCTGCCAAGACCACCGATACATCAATGATTGGACGATCAAGAATGCTTATCCACTACCGCTTCCTTTATCCCTTGTCGCGCGGTTACACGGAGCAAAGTATTTCACCAAGATGGATGTTCGCTCTGGTTACAACAATATCCGTATTCACCCCGATGACCGATGGAAAGCTGCATTCACCACGGAATTTGGACTCTATGAACCAAATGCCATGTTCTTTGGACTTTGCAATTCTCCAGCTACGTTCCAGGCCTACATGAATCACACATTTCAACAAGAAATCAATGAAGGATGGTTAGTAATCTATATGGACGATATCCTCATCTTCTCGAATGACCTTGATGAACACCATGATCGTACCTGTCGTATATTGATCAGAATCCGCGAAGAAAAACTCTTCTTAAAACCAGAGAAATGTACCTTTGATGCACAAGAAGTCGAATATCTCGGTATGATCATTCACCCAGGATGCGTTGCTATGGATGTTGCTAAAACCGATGGAATCCGCGATTGGCCAATCCCATCTACCATTAAAGAAACCAGATCGTTCCTTGGCTTCTGTAACTTCTATCGAAACTTTATTCCCCATTATTCTGATATTGCACGACCCCTTATTGATCTTACAAAGAAGGATAACGTGTTCCTTTGGTCCACAACCTGTCA